GGGAGCATGGTAGCTTAGTGGTTAGCGCGTTTCTCCTCACACCGCCAGGGTCGGGGGTTCGATTCCCACTGCTGCCCTGTGTGTGTGGAGTTGGCATGTTCTCCCTGTGTGGTGGGGGTTTCTTCTCCCAGTCCAAAGACAAGCATGGTAGGCTGATTGGCATGCCCAAAGTGTCCGTAGTGTGTAAATGGGGGTGTGTATGTGATTGTGCAGTGCGATGGATTGGCACCCTGTCCAGGGTGTACCCCGCCCTGTGCCCCATGCTCCCTGGGATAGTCTCCAGGTTCCCCGCAACCCTGAAGGATAAGTGGTGTAGAAAATGGATGGACCATTTATTTGACATTGTAGTAACATTACAATAAATCTGACGGAGTTTAATTCTGAATATTTTCTTTTCTCTTTAAACAATTTCAAACAAAGTAAAAGAGGTTATCTTATAAAATGTATCAGCGTGGTGTGCTTCCATCAATCTGCTTTTTAACTTCTTATAGAAAAGTCAAGGATTATCTAGAGCTGTACTCCTCAGTGCAGTTCTGCACATTACAATATCATTCTAGCTCTCTCTGGTTCTGGACTGCTCACTACAGGTCTAGAATCATCTATTCAGTTCATAGAACAACTTAGTTTGTTTATAGAATATTAGAATCTGGAATAATAATTGTGGCTCTAGCATTCTGTAGTTCTAGGTTTCTTATTGGGGGAAAAGAGCTTCTAAAATCCTGGTTCCACAATATTCTTTCAGTGTAACTCTAGAAAGCCACGGGAAGTTCATTCCACCACCTAGGTTCTAAAACAGAGAAGGGCCTTGATGCATGCACCCTGAGAGATGGTGGGTCCATTCAACAGTGCTAGAGGACCAGCAGGAGCTCGTACAGATCATGTACATTGTAGTCAATACTATAAGGTAAGTGGGCGCTAGTCTGTGTTTTTAATCTGATGCAGCAGCTACAGGAAGCCAGTGGAGGGCGCGTAGTAATAAGGTGGTGTGGGAGCACTCAGGGAGATTGAAAACAAGTCATACAGCTACAATCTGGATTAGAATTTAAAATGGTGCACAGAGCCAGACCTGCCAGGTTTGAGATGGAGCAGTCCAGTCTCAAAATGAGAAGGGACTGAACAAACACCTAACTGGCCTCTGTGGTTAGAAATGGCCAGAACTGCCTGATGTTGTAGAGAAGAATCTGGCATGAGTGAGTCGTTATAGCAAAGTGAGACGGACAGGACTACTGGAAGGTTGTGTGCAGTGACAAATGGCAAGATATGAGAGTTGTCAAGGGAGATCAAAAGATTTTGACTTGGAGATGGATCTTCAGGGATGTATAGCATCTTAAGCAGTTTTGATGGGATTTAGTTTCAGCTATTGAACTGCCTTCCAGGATGAGATAGCTGTTGATCATGCCGAGATCTGTGGGTGTTGAAGAGAGGCAAAGGATAATTTGAGTGTTATCAAGAAGATAGCAGTGCTATGAAAAAATTTGTGAGCTTATGACCTCCAGGGAGAGCGGATATACAGGATATATAGATAGTGATCCTGATTCCTTCTGCTCTCCGGACCTGCCTGATCCATCCTGATGTTCTACTTCTGGTTGGAGTTCTCGTTGGAAGTCACATGCTGCTGCTGAGGATGTCCCACATGGTGCTGACTAAAGATCACTGAGATTACTGAGGATGGTTCCACTTCAACACCATAAAGATGGCTTTGGACCTCAGTTCATATGAACAGATATGCTATGATAGCTTTAGCATTACAATTACCACAAAGAGTTCTGCCCTCGAGTCTCCATCAGTGAACAGTGGAGAAGCTCAACAAAACAGACTTGATGTAGAAATTGTAATGAATTTCCTGGTTACACAACTGCACTATTAGTATGTAGTATTAGTACATTTATATACAGTAAGGGGTGTATTTATTTATAATCGCACTATCCGGTGTCACCCAGATGAGGATGGGTTCACTTTTGAGTCTGGTTCCTCTCGAGGTTTCTTCCTCATATCGTCTCAGGGAGTTTTTCCTCACCACCGTCTCCTCTGACTGCTCATTAGTGATAAAGTCATACATTTAAAATCTATATTCTGAATATATATATATCTGTAACGCTGCTCTGGGACAATGTCCACTGTTAAACACGCTGTACTAATAACACTGAACTGAATTGAACTATTTAGTGAAATTTGCGAATTCTCCAATATAATTCTGGAATCTTCAGCGAGTGTGGTTCTAGATTCCTCAGTCAGTGTGGCTTCCATAATCCGTAACTTAACTCTAAAACACATGTTGTGGTTTGGTCGATTATACATGCTCAGCTCTAGCAACTCTAGAACCCTCAGTGTATTCATGACTGAAATATTCTGAAGAGGAAAAACAAAATTAACAGAACACCAGCAGAAACACTGCATTGCACAAATACACTCAGTATACTTTCTTCTGACTCTGTGTGTGCATGTATGTGTGTGTCCTGCCTGGCCGTACATTAGTGTAACTATAGAACAAAGAACATCTCCATCCATCTGTTCTTTCATCAAAGCAATCATATTCCTCAACAATAGCTCTGTGTGTGTGTGTGTGTGTGTAGGGGTGTGTGTGTGTGTGTGTTGTCTTTTGATGTTAGATTGTGCCAAATTTGGCTGTGACGGGGGTCACTGCGGCCCTCGCGATAGTGTTCAGAGTAACACACATACATACAGTCAGCTGCTCTGGCTCATCTGCTCCATCAGATGTGCTTCTAAGCCGCTCAGACATTCTCTCTCTCTCTCTCTCTCTCTCTCTCTCTCTCTCTCTTAGTGCATGCTGGGAAGTATCTTTTTTTGTGTGTAAATCCATTCCTATCACTTCGCCATGGCCTAAGGTGTGTGCCTGAGCCACAAATACCAGTTGAAGACGTTCTTCAAGCTGTTGGAGTGAAAGTTGGTTTTGAGAACATTGAGTCTGCCACACGAGTGAAAAAAACCCAATCTAAAAACAAAGTAGTTGTTTTTCTTGTTGAAGAGAGTCTAGTTAGCAAAGTCGTAGAGAACGGTCTCATAATTGTTTCAAACTATCCACTCTTCATCCCTAATGAGAATGAATACACTTTGAAAAACTAGCAAAGCAAAATTCTGCCAATTTATCCCAACCCAGCTCTAAAATATGACATACCCTATCAAAGGTGAGTATACAAGTATTCTGATCCACCAATACAAATACTCTATATTTATTTTAAGGTCAAATACGTGTTCACGGTGTTCAGAGTTTGTCACATCTATCCAGAAATCATAATAGCCAAAATAAAAGGAAATAACCATGCATCCTTCTCTTTTTTCCTCTTCACCCCCTCTATGACATGCATGTTCACTTAATATAAATGTTTAAAAGAAAGTGAGCTGTGTTATCTGAGATTATCGAGCAGAAAAGACTTCAGGCTGTGTTCCTCCAAAAACCTCAGACCACTGAAATAGAATGGGAAATATGATAGAAAGATCAATGTACTTTTAGTCATGGAACAAATTTAAGCACAGGGGTACCTTTTAGGAACATCTTTTGCATATGGTCTAGGAGTAAATGTTTTGTGAACACTAGAAGTCGTAAAGGGAGGACTACTGTTGGTTAAAGCAAACATCAAACCAACTTTAGTCAACTTTATATTAGAAAATATCTAAACAATGGCAGACAGTGTGCAGAGGAATTTGAAAAAAACACACTCTCAGACACTCCAGATACTCTAGATTTCCTCCTCAGTCCAAAGACATGCGCTGTAGGCTGATTGGCATTTCTAAATTGTGAGTGTTCATGATTGTGCCCTGCGATGGGTTGGCACCGTGTCCGACGCTTGTCCAGGGTGTACCTCAAGTTCCCTGGGATAGGCTCCAGGCTCCCCACGAACCTATGTAGGATAAGCCATACTGAAATGGATGGATGGATGCACAGTACATTTGGGTAAAAATGATGTTAGTGCTCCAAGACTCAATAATTTTTGAAATATCTAATGAGTTTTGTTGAAGTCATGAACCGTTGCATAAACCCCATAACTTTACACCCTAATTTAATTTCTGTTCATTTGAATATATAATTTACTGGCAATTTAATGTGAGGTTAATACAAAACTGGAAATTCTGTGAAAATTTGAGTGCTTTTGGGGACAGTAGGAAAAAAAGCAAGTCCAAGTTTAGGAATTTAAAACAGTAGTAGGAATTTGGAAAAACCCAGATTCACCAATATACTGTGCTGTACGAGTCACAGATCAGATGGAAGGTGTAGACAACGGCGTGAAATTGAAGTGTTGTATATCTGAAGTGACAGCATATACACAGAAGAGTCCATATCCACAATAAACTGTATTATGGTGCCAGAGGAGGTAGGGGTATTGACAGTAACTTCACAACAGAGTTTCTTTGGTACTTCAGCAGAATTCTCTAAACACAGCACGGTGATGTCATCCACTTGCACTTCGTGCACATCACCGGTTGGGGCTGAATGGCATACTCAAGCAAAATGTCTTTTCTTATTGCACAAGTTAGAATTAACTTTTGCAGCAGGGCACTGTGGTGAGTTATCCAGGTGTCTGTCTGAACTGCATAAGAAACATGACTTACGAGCAGAAGGGCGGGCAGCGGCTGAACTTGAATGACCTGTACCGCCCGAACTGGATCGTCCCTCTCTGCCATCATTTTCTTTACTTGCTCATTTAATAGTGATGAAGAATGATGAATGCAGCTCTAGAACCCTTGGCACAGATCTAGTAAACAGCTGTACAGTCCTGTATAGTATCTGAAATAATGAGTGTGGTTCTTAGTGCAGTTGTACATTTCTTAGGGAAATTCTAGAATATTAAACAATTTTCGATTAATTCGTTCCAAGAATCCTCAGTGTACTTTTACAATCCTCATGTGGTTCCAAGCAGTTTGGTGCAGTGCTGGACTCCTCTGTGCAGCTCTAGAACATTTATTGTGGCTTTCAAATCCTCAGTGTGGTTCTAGAATGCTTGAAGTTGCTCTAGAATTCTCATTGTCATTCTAGGTACCTTAGTGATGTTCACAGTCCTAGAATTTGTAGTGAGCAGTTACACAGTTCTCAGTGCAGTTCTAGATGTTCCAGTAAGCA